TTTTTTGTTTTCTGGAGAATTCTAAGGAAATGAAATATATGTATATATATATATGAATATTTTACTCTTGAGACAAAAACAATAATTAAAAAACCATTATATATCTGTTTAATTGTACTGCCCTTAAACAAATACGAGTAATTGTGTTTCTTTTTAAAATGACTGAATTTTGATATGATATTAAGGCACAGCATTATTTTCGGAGATATTCTTAAATTTTTCTCAACATAATAAATTGGTAATGTCCATTAAAAATGCATAGGTAGCTCAGCTGGTGTGGCTCAGCAGTTGAGCATCAACCCATAAGCCAAGAAGTTGCTGGTTTGATTCCTGGTCAGGGCACATGCCTGGGTTGTGGGCTTGATTCCTGCTAGGGGTGCGCAGGAAGCAGACTATTGATGTTTCTCTCTCATCTCTCTCAGTCTCTCTCTCTCCCCCTTTCTCTCTCCCTCTCCTCTCTGTTCTCTCTGAAATAAATAAAAAACATACTTTAAAAAATGCATAGGTAATAAAAGAGTGTATTTATAGAATAGTGTAAAACTAGAAATCAATGATTCTAACACTCATGTCCTGAACAGTTGATTTTGTTAAGCTTATTTTTGCAATAGATTTGCAAAGTTAATTTTTAAATCAAAGTTTTAAAATGGCGTTTAGTTTGGTGGCTTCTCTGATTCTCAAGGAATTGAGAAACAAAGGTGTAAAAGCAGAAAACTAAAATGTGAGTTGGATTTAATTTTATTTAAAAATTTGGAAGTATTAGTTTTTAAAATAAATGGAAATTTGTACATCTAGGTTGCCTGATGTTTTGAAGAAATAATTAAAAACAGCAATCTGGAATGGGATACAATTTGAACTTGGAAAACACATTTAAGCTGTAGGCTTGCTTTTTGATCCAGTTACATCAACTCACGAAAACAAGTCAGGTTCTGTTTTATAATAATTTTTCTTAATATCACTTAGTGATGAGGAAAGGCTGTTTAGTCAGCAGATGGTAGGGCTCATACACTATCAGTCAAACTCAGAGCTTGTGGGAGGGTTGGCAAAGACCATTTTCCATGAAAAAGCAAGTTTTTTGTGTTTTGGTTTTTTTTCCGTATGTGTGTAGTTTGACAAGGCATACAGAGAAAACCTTATGTTGATGAATTTGGAAAGTCTAACTAATGTTGTTAAGTAACGTAGTTGTCTTAAAATGTAAAGCTGCTTGATTAGT